TTTTTTTTTTTTTTTTTTTTTCATTTTCCTTGGCTCAGTGGGTAGTTGGTTTTTCCCCTGGGCTTCTTCCCCCAGACTATAGTTTTAGGATGCAGAGAAATACAACCCCAAAATAACATCCTACTCTCCTACTCTCCAAGGATGATATTGACATAGTTGCAGAACGGCCCAGGATAAGAGTCTGGATGCTTTGGAGCAACAGCCCTATATTATGTCTAGGAATTCAAGTGCTTGGCGCTCTGTTTTGTATCTACAAGGAAGGGAGTGAACACTGTCTGGGTGGACTTCCTCCAGTTGGGGGCCACCACGAAGGAGGCATGATCTGTGAAGAGATACTGAGTCAGGCAGCTGCTCAACCGATGTCCTTGCTTGAGAGTTCAGAACACTTGAGATTAATTGGGGGGTGGGCAGTTCTCTCCTATTCCCCCATTCCCCAAGAACACACGGTGCCCGAGTGCTGCCAAAGCAGCAGAGGACAGCAAACTCATTACATAATGTGTACTGCACAGTCTTGGCCAAAAACACTTTATGAAAATCCAATTCTTTCGACACATGTTAACGAGAAAACTTTTTCCCTCCTATTTAATCATCACAGTGCTTCTGGTTTCAGGATTCATTTGAGGGAGATTATCTGATTTATAAATTCATAAATAATATTGTCTTTCCATTTCATGGCTGGTAATCTGGAAACAATTTTATGGTTTAACTAAATTACAGCAACTGGAAACTTATGCAGACTTCTCCCATGATGAAATGTTATGAAATATGTTTTAATGTGAAAGGGGAAAAAGAGAAATGCAGTGGAAGAAGAAAAATTAAATACTACCCTGTTATTTTATTGCAATGGCAATTTTACAAATGATCACCGGAATATTAATGCTTAAGCTAATTCTTGCCACTATCGCTTGGTTTAAGGTATTACAGGACTGGTATAATTACTGTTGAGAAATGGTTTAAATGTGATTTCATAACCCATTATACCATTCCATAAACCATATTTATGTAATTAGTATGTGCAGTTAACTACTCGTTTAGTGTAAATCAGCCTGTCTGAATGAATCTTCTTGGGGGCCCAAACACACTGTTAATAAAAAAATTCAAGTCAAATCCAGGAAAAGGGCTGAGCCCAGAGTTTGAAATCATACTGCTCCCAGGTCTGTCTGTCAGGATGAAGCAAAACTCATACTGCTTGGCATCTTCTCTACTTCGTCAGAGCACAGGGAAGAAGAAAAATCTGCGTTTGGGGGACTATTTTTAGCCAATGGCTCCATGTATACAACTTTTTGATTCAAGTTTTAACCTTTTGATGTTTTTTGAGTAGGGACTTGTCTTTGTATCGACCAAGGCC